TGCAGAGCGCAAGGTCTAAATAACTCCAATTGCTCTCGTGTTTGAACTAGGGGTCTTGACTTTCAGCTTTCTCAGGATACGAAAATCTGTCCAGAATTCGAATGCCGGTGAAGGTTAAATAAACCTCACTAATTCCTTTTGAATGACAAGTTTCTCGATTTTTTCTCATAGGAATTAAACAATCATCAGGAATAAGCGAAAGATTCACCCTTTGCTCTGTGTCCATGCAATGTCCTTATTTCGTTCAACCCTTTCAGCCATTCCATCAAGAAAGCAATTCTGGTAGGTGCGAAGGAAATCTGCCTATGACGTGCATATCGCAAGGTCTAAATAACTCCAATTGCTCTCGTGTTTGAACTAGGGGTCTTGACTTTCAGCTCTTTCAGCATACGAAAATGTGTTCAGAACGCGAGTGAAGGTTACAAACACTCACTAATCCCCTTTGAATGAACGAAGTATCTGTATTTTTTTCTCTTTGGAATTAAACAATCATAGGGAATAAGCGGGAAGATTAACCATTTGGTTAGTGTGTCTATGTAATGTTCTAATTTCTACCAACCTTTCGAGTCGACTGACCCAATTGAATTGCCAGAAAGCTATTCAACTCCTTAATCTTTCCCGTGATACACGTGTTTCAGAAAGGTGCGACGGACATCTACATGGTGTGACGTCGGAACGAGCAAAGTGTCAAGTCTAAACAACTAAAATTGATATCTTGCTTAAAACGGGCCTTCAGGAATGGGACTTTCATTTTCTTCGGATAACCAAATCAGTACAGAAGAGCTAAGCAGTTAAGAAAGCACTAATTCCCTCGGAATAAACGAAGTCTGTCAATAATTTTCGATTTTCAGAATTAAACAATCATTGGGGAGAAGCGGAATATTCACCGTTTCCAACGTCCTTCCTGAAATTTCCTTCTTGACATTGCAACGTAAAGAGTGCAAGGTCTACATAAATCTAAATGCTCTCTTGTTTAAACCGGACTTCTCTGGAACTGGGACTTTCATCTTTCTAGGCATAAGATTTTTTTTAAAATGCTACTTTCGACGAAGGTTGCACCAAACTTACTCATTCTTTTTGAATAAATGAAGTTTCTCAACCATTTTCGTTGTTCAGATTTAAATAATTATTGAGATTAGACGAAAAAATCACCGTTTGGCTCATCGCCCATTCAACCACTGAATTCCTAGGAAGCTATTATATTCTTTAAATCTTCACGTGATGAACGTGTTTCAGGGAGCTGCGAAGAAAATTTACTTATGATATTTCAACGTACAGAGTTCAAGGTAAATTCAATTGCTCTCTTGTTTAAATCGGGCCTCTCCGAAACGGCTAATTTCATTTTTCTCGATATACAAACATCTGTACAGAATGCGACTGCTTGTTAAGATTATTCGTTTCGGATGAACGAATCTTCTTAATTAATAGCTTATTTTCAAAAAACGAACTTATACAATTCCTTTTTTGATGAACGATCTCTTCAGCACCTTCATTCTTTCGGAATTAATAGCGTATCTGTATGATGTGGAATACACCATTTGCCTCATCTAACTTAGCTCATTAATTTCATTTCTTTCGACGAATCTCAACTCGGGTTCTTCCTGGGCTGTACGCGCTTCAGGAAGACGGAATGTGCCTGTGAGGAAACTTGGCATCAGAAGACAGCGCAAGGTCTATTTCTCTCCAATGGCGCTCGCGTTTTAACCCGGTTCCTCAATTTTAATCTTTCTCGAGGTAAGAAAATATGCCAAGAATGCGACTGCTATTTAGTGTTACCAAACTCTCGCCTTTTTCTACAGAATAAACGAAGTCTCTTATCTCGTTTACACTCTATAAATGGGTTGGGCGTGAATTCGCGAAGTGCGAATTTAATAGTATTTGAGATTGAAATACTTATAAGTGCAATATATAACTCGTTATTTTTCATTAAAATATCTTCACTGTATCGCGACAATTATTACTCAAATTATTATTATTATTATTATTATTATTATTATTATTATTATTATTATTATTATTATTTTTATTTTTATTTTTATTATAGAGGATGTAGAAACAGCAGAATAAGATGCAACCACTGACAAATGGGAACGCTGATAGAAGTAAAAAAACCAAGGCTTTTAAAACCAATGTCTGAAAGAGAAAAGAGAGAGAGAGAAGGGTGAGAGAGAAAGAACGTGAGAGAGAGAGCCAGAGGGAGAGAACGATAACCAAAAGCGATAACGGGTCCCAATTTAGCATGATATTTGGTAAATTGGCAAAGAATTGTGAATTTCAACATGTCACAAGCTCTCCATTTTATTTTCATTGTAACGGGTAAGCGAAAATTGAGGTAAATATAGCAAACAGAATTCTCAACGAATCAAAAAAATATTAATTTAGGGTTACTTGCATATACATCGACACCACTTGAAAACGGTTGCAGCCCAGCTGAATTGATATTATCTAGAAACGTTAAAACTTCAATTTCTATGTTCCAAAGTAAATAAGTCATTTCGAAGAAATTAAGAAATACAATTTAAAGAGAAAGATATTAAAGAAAAACAAAGATAAAACTCCAATCAGAGACACCCTACCAGGAACCAGCCTCAACTTCAGATTAGAGACAGAATTTGTGTCAAAACCTTGCGTAAATATAAAATAGTAACAGACCTCAGTGACAACCCCAATTCTTATTTTAAAAACACGTGGGAAGATTATACAGAATAAATAATGGGCACCTCATACATGAGCCAAGTAAATAAGCTGACAAGGGGGATACACAAGCCGGATCTGACCCCAGATTTGTTTTTTGAGGATAAAAGGGAAAATGCTTCTTGGAATGCGGATGTTTCTGTAGCGCATCCCGAAATTAATCCCAGTAATGACGATGAAGAAAAAGAGTTTGTTAGCCTTATCGGTAGCAAAGTGTTTATTGAAACGATAATGACGAATAAAAAATTTACAAGAAGAAATTATAGAAAGCAGCTCAATAAAAGACAAATGTCCACCATACTGTATGATAGGTTATGCTTAACTATATGGTTAAGAAAATAAATTTTAACTGTTATTAATTCTGTAATACTTGTGTAAATAAAAGTTATGTTAAAAATAAAACGGAAATGATGTTCTGAGAGTGGCTGCATGCTTGTCCCAACGAGTATGTACAGGCGAACGAACTTATCAGCGTTTGGAAGATCGATTATGGCAGATAACACAGGGCATTGCCAAATCATTCTTGAGAAAAGCCTCTTTCTTATTCCTGGCCTGATTCTTAGTATAATTTCAGTTATGATCGCGTGTGAGGAAGGCACATAGAAAATCTACCTCGGACGTGAAAATAGGTTTCGGCAGACAGAGGAAGGTCTAAACTTTTCTTCCATCTCTAGGTTTATCCTTCCCTGTAAACTCGTTTCTACTTCCTGCTTATGTGTAATCCTGCTGACGAGGTGCTAAAAAAATCTGTCTGGTTCCCACTATCTTGTGAAGAGTATAGAAAAGTAACCATTTGTCTTTGTTTGAATCAAGACTCTTAACTTTTCTCTCTCTACTATCGAAGAGCACTTGTTTTCACTGCAGTGTCGCTGACCTGGAGGTACTGGGTTTGAGTCTGGTCGGTGGTGGAATTCAGATAATCGTTGCAGTGCTGGATCGAATTCCAACTGTTCGGTGGAGAATTATAGCGGCCAGCTTTTCTGATCGGTAGTTTTCTGTGTTTTTCTAGGTTAATACCATGCGAATGCTGGAGCAGTACCTTAACAAATGAGTCACGGATAGCACGAGAATTTGTCTTGTTCATTCTTATCCCCTCCGCTCTCTTTATACACACACCTGCACTTACATGTACGTAGAACCTCGGTAATACGAAATTTCGGATAATCCGAACACAGTTCTGGATGGAGGAAAATAAACAAAATAAATAAAATGCTTTTTTTCTAGTGTAAAGAAAAGATTTAATAATTACCGTAGAATTGAGCAATTATTATTGAAACACAAATTGTTGAAATGAAACATTTATTACACCGGTAACTACGTTATTTATCATAAGTTTATGAAGATGTAATTTACATTACAGGAACTTGCCAAATCAGTAATCTTCTTTGTTCGCAAGGAACTGAATCTGCTTGATAATGCGATGTGATGACGTGATCGCTACGCTACGTTGCCATTTTCTTACATCGCGTTCTACATTGCATTGTCTAGTAATCCTTGAGATGTATTTGTATATATGTACGGTACATTTTTCGGATAATCCGATTATTTCCGAATTTGAACGCACCTCACCCCCAATCAGTTTGAAATTCCGTCGGGACGGGACTACACTATCACACCTGTACAGACATTAGTTGTGAGCGTAGACCTTG